TCTGCAGACAGAGTCGCTGCGCTCGAACAAACCTTAAAAGCAACTCGAGCCGAGTGTGTTTACTTGTGTGTTTCACTTCACGTTCTCGCAACGGTGTTGATCAAATGAGCCGTGTTTTCATAACTCTTTCGCAACGGTCTGATGAACATAGGGCTGCGTACGGAACATTATGAAAGCTTTAAATAAAGCATATCAAAGTACGCTGGATGAAAAACGTGGACCTTGTGCCTACTTTATCAGACAAATAATTTAAAAGAAAGACAAGTTGATAAACCAAAAGTTGACTCTTATAATTGCATGAAGGAAGGAAAAAGGGGTGAGTTTCTTTGTCACTGTTATTTAGGAGCCAGTGATCTCGGTTTTCTATTGTGTCAAACATGAAAGTCTGGAGAGAAATGGGAGAGGACAAGAGGTGAAACTGAAATGGTTTGACATTAGACTTGAAAGGAACATAATGGCAGGCTAAAAAAACAATACACCACAGGAGGAAGCATTTTAGTTAGTCAGAAGAGTGACTCATTGTAAGGTTGGTATTTTCTAGTGAAAGCAGCAACTTTTAATCCATCAATTAATTTTGAACAACAGCTGCAGTAACACGCATTTATCATTAATCTAATACATTTTCACTGTTTATTTTTACACGCTTTAGTGATTAATTTGGTCAAATGTCCAGCTGCTATACTGTTTTTAGTGAAATTAACATAAAAACAGCTGTGCTATATCTTTAATAAGTATGGCCCTACAGCATAGATGCAACATCATCTGCATCCTAACTGCACTAAAGAGCTTTATTAGAGATCCTTCCTCCTGCAACCATCACTGCTTCCTACTAATCCAATAAAGGTTTACATCCATAATTTTAAATTACATTTCTGGTGGTATTTGAATTTATTTCCACAAAAAGCAAACAGTCTATTGTCTTTAATAGACAAACATAATAACTGCACATTCCTTGGATGAAAGCATGCTATTTAACATCTGCAGACGTTTTAGTACAGTAAATTACAGTAAAAAGATTGCATGTTCACCCTTTTCACCATATGTTTTTTACATTTCACATTGTCAACTTGAATTTCAGTCATTTCTCAAGATGGCTGCCAGTTTTGTGCTTTTTAAGCCAGTAATTGCCATAAAATGTTACCCATTTTCATGATTTGGATGAACTTAAAGTCGCATCATCTGTTTTCGACTTTGTTCATCCTATTTATACAACTTTAAAGTAAAGATATGCAACAAAATTAAAAACTAAGGACTCATATCGGTCATCAAGAGGAAGGAGATGAAGATGTGCGACACTGAAAGAAAGACCTTTGGCTTAATGGTTAGCGTTAGCTTCTGCTAATTTTTTAATGAATTTAGTGGTTTAGCATTAGCTTCCAAAATATTTTTATGCAGTTAGTTGTAGCTTCTGCAAATTTTTTGATTGCATTTAGTGGTTTAGCATTAGCTTCCAAAATATTTTTTATGCAGTTAGCTCTAGCTTCTGCTAATTTTTAAAATAAATTTAGTGGTTTAGCATTAGCTTCCAAAAATCTTTTTATGTAGTTAGCTTCAGCTTCTGCTATTTTTTTCATAAATGTAATGGTTTAGCATTAGCTTCCAAAAATCTTTCTATGTGATTAGCTTTAGCTTCTATTTTTTTATGAGTTTAGTGGTTTAGCATTATTTTCCAAAAATCTTTTTGCGATTAGCGTTAGCTTCTGGTAATGTTTTATGTATTAACCTGTTTAGCATTAGCAGAGCTAACATTCTTATCTTTAGGAGTTTAGAATCAACTTCTGCTAATTTAAAAAAATATTTTTAGCAGTTTAGCATTAGCTTGCACAAATTAATTTATGTTTAACTGATTAGCATTAGCATAACTAAAATTCTAGTTTAGTCAAATAGTGGTTAGTGAACCTCATGGTTTAGTTAGCTTTGCCCACCACTAGCAATAAATACTGCTACTTTTAGTGCAAGCATATATTCTCCATTACAACCCTGAAAACCCAGAAAAAAAGAAATAAAGAAATTATATATAATTTCTAAGGTTCAAAATGTGATTTGAAGCCAAACATGTTCATCTACTAAAAGATTTAAGTGCAAAAATAAATTTTCCATGACGACCACCTTGAAAAATGTCCGACATCTTAAATTCATTAGAGGCTAACCTCCCCCCCCCCCCCAAGTTTCAAGCTTCTTGTATCAGCATGTAAAAGATTCGACTATCTGCTGCAGTATTTACAGTGGACACCATCTCCATACACATTTCTATAAGAGGCTCAAACAACTTGATGTTTTCGTGGACTTCTCCTCCAGCTTCAACCCAAAATGACTCGGAAGAATCAGGGGAGCAAGTCAGTTTTTCTATGCTGAAGATTTATGAAAAGCTACTGGATGGGAGAAGAGGGAAGGACAAGAAAGGGCAACCCAGATTCTGTGATGCCATCCCTGAGGGTGGAGGCACAAACAGCTTGTTGATGAAGGTTTCCCTCTCATCGTTGCTTCTGAAAAGTCTAATTTCACCTCAGACATCTGCATCAACAAACATCAGAGCAGAGTTTAAAGTATTTGATGCGAGGCTTCATGGGCCACTTCCTTTCTGCTTTCATTCTTGTCCATCGTGGGGCAGAAATCTGACTCTGCCCTTAAATGGGTTTAGATGGAGTGAGCAGCCAGATGTAATAACCTGCTTCTCCATTTTTCATCTCTTTTCTGATGCGTGTTTCTTTCTCGTCCCTCTTCACTGGTTTCCATTCAACCCATTTCGTTCCCTGCTGATGAAAATGGAGCCATGTACCACCTGTCACAATAAGAAATCAATTCATTGTATGATAAGTTCTAGAAAAGCTGCAGTTATTTGTCACCTCATGTGAAGAAGTTAGTTTGCACTACCTGTAACAAAAACGTCATAATCCATTTTAATTATTGTTGTTTTGTTTGTAAGAAAAAGATTTAGGTCACATTGAAACAAACAAAAAAAAAACATCTCAGAATTCTATATTTATTCTTAGAAATCTGACTTTTTTCTCAGAATTATGACAAATTCTGAGAAAATTTGTAGGATTTTTTGTAGGATTTTTGCTAATCTATTGAAAACATTTAGTTGTGGTTATTCTAATATTTTTTCTCAAAGTCATAATTTAATCTCAGAATTCTGACTTTTTCCATGAATTTTGACTTTATGATAATGTAATGAAGCTGTACAAGGACAAGCTGAAACTGCACAATTGGGCAGAAATAATTAATCGTAATAAATAATTAAGTAATCGATTAATCATTAGAGTAGGTAGAAAATGTCAACTGGTGAAACAACACCACACTCAGAGCAGGAATTTAGCAAATAACATATACATTTTACATTTAAGATAAGAAAAAAACCTGTCTTTAAATATGTTTTATCCAAAACTTCTGAAGTGGCAAAATGTTATCAATTTATCCAAAAAATAAACATATTTGGTGTTTGCATTGTTTAATGTATTTCTAACATGGTATAAAATCGCTTAAGTGGCTAAATGAAAAATTTGTAGAATGATTAATCGTCAGACTAATCGATTAATAATCTAAAATAATCGTTAGTTGAAGCCCTATTTGTCCCGCTAACAGGACGTATGAGTGACGGTAAACTATCAAATATTTAACATAATAGTAGCTGAAGAAGTACTGCATATATTTATTGTTGGTAAAATTTAGCCTTCTTTCTGTGATTAACTTTACATCAACATGGCTTCCATCGCTTCTCCTCACTGGCAGCTACTTTGTAATATGAAGCACGATCCGCTTTCATGAATACTAAAGTATCTCTTTCTGAAAACATCCTCACTAAACTGAAGATTAATCAAGAATCTAATACATAAACAAACACGGCTGTACAGGAATAAATATGTATTCGCACACTGACACGCATCCCGATGCTATGGACCGCTCCATTCATATTGATCAGGGGTTTAACCGCCTCTGGGGTTGAATCAAGCTAAACAAAGTCCTGGTTTTCCACGATGGCAGCCCGTAGAACATGAGTCACGGTCGAGTTTGAGCCAATAGCGGATTTGTTTGCCAGGTGCTGAGGGTCAGAGTGTTGTGAAAATTTCTGTCTGTGCAGGAAACGAATCACATGTTCATGTTGCACTTTGTTCAAAACGTCCCTGATGGCCGACGAGATTTCCTCTGAATTCACTGAAGAGAAATGAGTCAGAAGATGAAGAGGAGGAACAAGAGGAAGAGAGGCGTTTGGTAGAAATCCTGTAAGAGTTAAAGGAGGTGAAAGTAATTAATGTCCCAACTTGGAGAACCTCTGAGGGAGTTCTTGGTAGTTTTCAGCAGAAATATGTTTAAACAGCAGAGCTCAGTCGTCAACGTCATATGCTGCTGGTTTTTCAGTTTCCTGAACAATTAATTGGATTAATCAGTTATTAAAATAATTGTCAACTAATTGAGTAATTGATTAATTGTAAAATGGAGTAGACTGACTCAAAAATTTGGCTTAACGTTTTAAAATACATTTTAATCAAAGGTATTTTAATTAAAAATGCATAAAAAATTTTTAAAACATGTTTTAAAGAAAAGTTAAACCAGGTTAACTTTAGTTTCTCCAAACAAATATCATGTAAAGCATCTTTTGCTCTCCACTTCTTAATTTGGTTATTCAGGAAAAAAAGAAATTAAGCTACAGCATTGACGTCAGGAAAAAAAAATGGTTGAGCTTTTAGGGGTTTATTTAGTGTAAATGATCAAATCAATGAACAAAAATAATATTTTTCATTTAAAGTAATAAAGACCCAAAAGGAATGCTATGTTGCTGCATTTTGGGAAAGTTTATTTTCTTATTGTAAAAACAAACTGAATTTCTTTTAAATCTTTAAATTAATTTCTAAAATTGCACAAAAACAGCATGAACAGATTAATCAACGACTCAAATAATCGTTACTTGCGGGTCTAATCGCAGAAACACTGATTGTAATTAGAGACTGTATTAAATTGAAGTATTTTATTAATTGTATGCTATGATAACTTGAAAAGTTTCATTTCATACCTGCAGAATAAATGTTATATTGGTGCAAACTGACACATAGAGGCCCTGATTAATCAGTAATTATATCAATAATCACTAATTGCCTACAGATTGTTTATTTTTATTTTTATGGTAACTGGACTTATTTCTGGCTTGAATCTGCTCCTTACAACCAAAGTGTCTTGTTTCCTGTATTAAACCTGAGGAGCATCAACATGCAGGTTCATCGATCCGGCAGCCAAAGTTTGGGATCAGCTCTGATGAACTGATTTCAATATTCTGACATTTGAAAGAAATGTCACGAAGAAAACAACAAAGACGCCATTGATTGGCAAAAACAAATGTTATTTGGAGCAACACTTCTTCATCTCTCTGATAATCATTTTTAGCTTTCAGATGCCTTGATGAGGAATAAAAGCCATTTGCGTAACACTGCAGCAAATATAAATCATTACCAGAGTCTAAATTTATGCTGAAGAGTGAGTAAGCTTGAGACAGGCTGCGACATTTGCAGGATTTCATCATGTTGTGACGGTTCTTAATCGCTTAATATTAAAGATTTGGAGATTTCTGGCAGGTGAGGATGAGCTAAAGTGTTTGTTTTTTCTTACTCTTCAAGCTTCAGACATTTTCCACTCGACTGTGAACACACTAATGGAGTTATTTTTCTGCTGTCAGATTCTCACTCTTCCTGTGGGATGCACTACGAGTGTGTGTTACAACAACATCGGGGTGAATCACACTGGTTACCGGGTTTTAGTAGCACTTTTCGCTGGAATATCAAAACAAAGCATGAATCATTCATGCTGAAATATTTTAGAGCAAACATTAAGAAGTCTGAGTGAATAAATTTGTTTTGAGTTAAATACTAGTAGGAGATGGGCTTGTTGGAGCTGCAGGTACACCTTTTAAAGCCGGATATGTTTTCAAAACATGTAAATTTATTCTGAAGTTTTAAAAAGATATTACATTTGTTGATTAAAAACTGTTTTCATGATTAGTTCGTGTTTCTAGGACACAAATTATGGAACTTTTCAAGGATTTTAAGCATCAATTTCAAAGCAAAACAGATAATTTATGGATTAAAAATTCAATTATTTTCATTTAGCAAAGTTTTCTCAAATGCATTCAATCCATTTGCAACTGGTCAATCGGAGAGAAATCCACTAGGTCCAGTTGGGAACCATTATTTCTCAAACTCTGACTCCCAGTGGTGGTGGTGCAAAAACTGGAGAAAAACAAATGCAAAGCTCATTTTATGTTCCACTTATGATAGAAGCTTGGCAGTAAAAAGACAAACAGTTTGTGTCGTACTTCACATTTTCTATTGTGAGATAATTAAGTCTGTTTTAGGCCTGTCACAATAAATTTTGCTGGATGATAAATTGTCGGAGCCGAGAAAAAAAAAAAAAAAACACTTAGCACTGGAACAGGACGATATTTTAAATACCAAAAATAAATCGGAACGTCCAAAAACAAACGGAAATAAAAAACCATATACAACCAAACTATTCACGTGTAACAGGGTTTTATTTCAACAATATAATAAATGTGAAGTTAAAAATGTATTTATTCTATGAATGCATTTTGTTTAGTCAACAAGTTGTTTCTCCAGATTTTGGTTGATATTTTGAATTCTGTTATGCTGCTCTTGGCAGTTGGTGGTTACCATAGTAACCAGTAACTGCTCTTGGCAGTTGGTGGTTACCATAGTAACCAGTAACTGCCAGCTCCTCCCCCTTTTTCTGTTGCCGTCGGTAACTGTAGCACATACTAGGATCAGCTTTGTGTTTTCTTTACAAATATATTTTCACATGTATTTCAATAATTTTAATATACAGTTTTTCATAGTAATTTAGCTACGTTTTGTATAAGATTTCAACTGTTATTAATGTTGTCCGTTTTAGCTATGTTTGATTTTACAAACGGTAAATGCCATTAACTGCTCACTGGGAGCTATTGCTTTGTAGTTTGTTTAGGGATATTTATTTTATGTTTAGAGGCAGAAGCTACTGGACTGATGTGAACCACCAACTGCATTTCTTCTTTTGTTAGAAATACAGTGAACTTGAATGTGTCTGTTGTGAAGTAAACCTGGACCTGAGAAGGGTTACAGATAAAATGGATTATAAAGTTTCTGTAAACAATCTTTCTTCTAAAAAAATACTAAAATTGAATTTTTTTAGACTTTTTAAATCATATAATTAATTGAGTCAGTAATAATCTTACTCTGATTAAAAATAAACAGCCCAAAGATCTAGTTCTGGAGCTGAACTTGGGGGGCCATAAAAAGTCATCCCAAGGGTCACAAATGGCCCCCGGGCCACAGTTTGGACACGCAGCCATGTGCCAACACTGATTCTGATTCATAGAGGTTTATTCAGCTCTTTTTCTCTTAAATATTGGAGAAGTCAGTACAGACAGAGCCGCTTTGGATGTTCGCTGACTGACACATGACTGCTGGCACGATCTCTGTAATTTGGCAGGAAAAGCAGACACATATCACTTGTCTGCACCAGGGTGTTCTCAGCGGCTCGGACGCTCATTAGAAATGCAGCAGAGATTTGACCAACATGTCCGCACAGCCCTTGTAAAGCCACCGAGACGGAGGACGGGCAGGTAAAATGCCAGAAGAGGCCTCTGTGTTTGAGGAAGGCAGCGTCCTGTGGAGAGCTCATTCCTCTGGAGAAGACTCCAGGGAGCGGGATAGAGGAGATGAGAGGAGGGGGGCCACTCTGCGCTGTCCTTGTTTCTCACTTCAATTCCAAACGTGAGCTGAGCGTCTAATGGAGGACTTCTTTGAAGGTTTGTCTGCAAACTGCAGTCCAATGAGACGGCTTTACAAGAAGCAGCTAAATACATTTTAAAGGGGTCAATTATGTATTTAGCTTTTGGATGTTTTTCTACTTTCATTTGGATTTCTACTGCTAAAAAATTACACCCTGATGTTTTTTTGGGGGGAAATTCGCTAATGTTTTTTGTGTCTAAAAAAATATAAAAAAAAAAAAAAAAAAGATAAAAAAAAAATTCCACTGGGGTTACCTAGCAACCCCTATGGAGTTCCACCGTCACCTAGCAACCCAAGCGGAACTCAAGCATGTTTTTTTTTAGCTGGTTGGAGCTATAGCTGTACAATGGCTGCTGGAAAAGACAAGTGTTCTGAAGCAACATTCAGCTTCTATTGACTACAAATCTGGTAAAATTGCACAAACAGCTGAAACAAGTTCCTCTAAATAAAGATTAAAAACCCACCTGTTTAGAATCGCTTCTGAACCATAATAAATGAAACACTGACCAACGTATTCAATAACTGTTAACTTTGTAATTTTCTGTTTTCATTATGTATAGCACCTTGAACCGCCTTGTTGCTGAAGTTGTCTCAATTTCTTCTAAAACACAACCCACACACCTAAAAAAAAGCCAACTTCAACTTTTTGGCAATACGTTGATGTTCTATGCTGTTCCAAAAACTCCAGAATGTTAAGTCACATTCCACGTGCGCCACACTGTTGCTAAGCAACCCCAATCAAGTCCAGTCAATCATCTAGCAACTCAAGTTGAGCTCCACCACGATTGTTCAGCTGATTTTACAACTGTAAGTGCTGTACAACGGCTGCTGGAATAGTGGATTAAGTATTTTGTTTGACATACCATCCAGAAACCCCTTGCTGCATTCTTGTTGATTGTGCAGGAGGCTCCACTTATGCTTTTCACAGATGTACAGTTGTGTAATTGTGCATCTGTTTGCAGCCATTTTCATGTGTGAGTGAAACAGCCCCTAAAACAACTCAACCTGAACTGAAATCTAATTAAGAATGAGTTTCTGAAAATAAATGCAACGTTTCACATTTTGCATTAAGGAGCTGCTGTTTTGGATTCCTGACTGTCCCTGATACACTGATACAACAAGACATCTGTGACTGTAATCAAGTGAAAATCGCTGTGGGTCCCATTTCATCAGCACTGTGTTATATAATGACAGAGCCAGGCCGTTACACAATCTCTGCTACTGTGGGACCAGTTCAGTTTTTAATTTGGGACAAAGCTAACTTTAAAGGAACTTTTCAGCAAAATACAGGAGCTCGTTTTAAATCAATAATTCCTTAATATTGATTAAAAAGTACAAGTTCCACTTGTTTATAATAAAACATTTTCTCATGTTAGAACTTTTTCATCAGTATTAGTGTATTATTGATTTCAAAGAAGTTCCTATATCTTGCTGAAATTTTACTTGTAAGTTTGTGTCGTCTTATTTCAAGTGTGTTAAGATGTTTTGCACTAAAAATGTGACAAAAAATCCTCGGTAAGATTTTGTGTTTTTGTAGCAGAAGCATGTGATTTCTAACCGCAAACATCAACTGGAATTAACTCAATTCGTTTTGTTCAAATGTAAAGAAAGAATATTTCCTTAACTTTTGCTTTGTCTGTGTCTTCCTCCAGATTTGTAGAACAACGTTTAGTTGTACTTTATTAAAACCTCATCCCGGTCCCTCGTATCCCCTTTTCTTCTCATTCCTACATACAAAAGCCTTTTTTTTAAAACGAAACACCAAAGTGAAGAATAAAACTGGCCTAATGAAGATCCAGTGACATATTTGTTCAATGAAAATCATCTTTAAACAGCTCAATTTAACTGAACCACAAACCAGTGGAGCACATAATCTCCCTTCATTATTCATCCTACCATGCACACAGCATTATCTTTTTTCTTCATACAGAGAATAATATAATAACAGCGGTTATTTACATTTAAAATGCCAGTAAAAAGCAAAGTAGCATTAATTAGACAGATATTTATGCATATCATGCTTTCCTGAAAGTTTATTTGTTGCATTTTAAAACAGACCTTGGATGAATAAAGCTATTTTCAACACATTTGGGTTTGTTTCTGTGTGTTTGAGATCAACTCCAAATGAGGTACAAACTATGACAAAGTGTGAATGTTTGTGGGCTCATCGAAGAACGAACGGACAGATTTAATAAAGTCATGGAAAAGAGAAGCGAGTATTCATCATTCGCTTCTGGCCTGAAATTCTGCTCAGATAGATAAGCCCACAGATTAAGAGGAGATTTTCACCTGTCTGGAAAAGCCTGATAGATGACAGATCCACAATGAAACAACCGTACAGTTCTGAAAAGCAGAAGTGGCGCCTCCTGTGCAAAAAACAAGAATGCAGAAAGTGGTTTCTAGATGGCAAGTCAACAAAAAAAAACACTTGTCTTTCAGCAGCCATTGTACAGCAAATGCAGAGGTAAAACCAGCTGACCAAATGTGGTGGAGTTCCCTTTGGGTTGCTAGGTAACGGGTGGAATTCCGCTGGGGTTGCTAGGTAACGCACTGTGGCTACTGATTTGAGACATCACATTCTGAAGGTTTTTGAAATGGGTCATTTTCCAAACACCAAAAAACATGAAGTTATTGCCAAAAATTTTTTTTTTTTTTTTTTTAATTGTTGATCTGTTTTTAGAAGCAATAGAGACTCAAATGTACAAAACCTGCAAAATGTTAATTTTGCAAAATACATCCCCTCTAAAGATTCAAGACTAATCCTTACATAAATCTTCACACTACTGTGTTTCTGTATTTCATTTTAATAGCACACAACAACATGGTTCTATGCGTTCAACACTGAAGCATACATAAGTCAGGTCGCCAAAAAGTTTACATCGTCAAAAAATTTAAAAAGTAACAGACCAGGCCTTGATACAGCTAAATACTGTAAATTTCACACCTTTAAACCCATTATGAACAAATTCAGACTAGGATTGCATGAAAATGAGACAGAACTTCATGTTTCTACAAATCTCCTTTGTTTTCTCACTTTTAGATCCACTCATAACAAACAGAGTGGATCTAAATCGATAAGCGTGGTATGAATTCAAGTCTGCTTTTGGATCCGACGTTAAAATGAAAATCATTAATAAGCATCAATAAGGAGAAATCTGGATTAGTCTGCTTTACTGTACTGGTGTAGTATTTAAAGATACTGATGCTTTGCAGATCTTGTCATCTATAAATGTTTTAGGGAGCAATACAACTCCAACGCACAAAGATATTAACATTTCAAGAGCAAGAAATGTTTTCCGCAGAAGAAATTAAATTAATTCACCTCAAACATTCAGCGATAGGAAAGGCATCAATTCATCCAGAACGTGACTCGTGTTATTTCTGTCGATATCAACATTTGTTTGATGAACAGAAACATTTAAGTGTGACAAGAAAACAGAAACGGTAAAATATTCACAAAATCTGTCAAACCAAACTCTGAAATGTATAAATAAATAAAGAGAAAACTGATGGGTTGTTTTTTGACAGGGTACAAAGAAGGCCATCTAAATGCTGCAGTTACTCTTTAAAAAAAAACACATATACTTTATTTTAATTTGATCGACTGCGGTATATATTGTTCCGAAAGCTGAGAAATTCTCAGGTTTACTCATAGCATACCAATGAAACCTAATAGATGCTAATTTAGGCTGAATGATTTTGTCTCCTTTCTGAGTCTCCGCGCAGAGAAAAGATGAAAATAAATGAAAAAGTTAAAGATGGCTGATCCATTCCATTACATTTGCTCCAAAGAATCGAACATCATTGCCCTCTACCACCTGCTCTTGCTGCAAATCATCTATTTCTCATAAGTAGCACATATCTGGAAGTTTATTGATTATTTGAGATTTTATTTTTGCACCAGGTGTTCCAGGCAGGTAATGCACACTTAATAATCTGGTGCTGCTTGTTGAGGATGGGGTGAGGGGGGGGACTCTGTTCATATTCTGACAAACCTCTGCAAACCAGCACTGACATCACGTCTGTCTCCATGGCGATGTGGCGGAAACGTAGGCTGCTGGTATCTGGAAGCAAAGCGCAGGAAGAGATTGAAAGAGAGACGGAGATAGGGATGGACAGAGAGAATGAGAGTGTTGGAAATCCTCTCAGAGAGGCGTGAAGGAATAAAGTGTCAGGAAGTGACTGGGTCTGAATGCTAATATCAGAGGCTTCGGATGGACAGGGGAGCACATGAACGCGCGGACCGGCGGCTGCCTCCATGGTGTCTCTTTCAGTTTTGTCAACAATCAGGCGGTATCAAGTGAAAAACAGCTGAAATGTCACCTGAGCCAATGGCTGGGCTCAATCTTTGGCTGTTCCCTCACAGAGAGTCACCAGAGGACAGAAAGGAGAAGAGAAAACTGGTGAAAACGTTCACTTCTTCACATTAGGGTCAAAATGATTAATCGTGATTAATCGATTATTAAAACAATCGTTAATTGGAGTCTCCAGACTCTAAAACATGCAAACTGTTGAAAGAACAACAGAGCAGTACCTAAACTAAACCTGCAAAAAATATATATAATCTTATAATCTGCATTTAAGATCAAAAACCTTCTTTGTCTGTAAATCTGTTCTCCTTAAGTTGCAGTTTTAGCTTCACCTTAAAAACAAACAAAAAAAAAACATCAAAACAAAAAACCTCCTAATTTGGCACTGTTTTCTATCCTGTTATTAATTGGTTAATCCAGAAATTAGTCAACAGATCAGCACCACACTGTATTGATGCTAATCAATCAGAAAAAGCTGAGCTTTTCATATGTTGATGCTAAAACCTTTCAGCTGCAGATGCATTCTTTGCTAGCAAGCATACATTTAAAAAATGCTTTATTGTCTCATTTTAGACATTAACATGTTTACATTCATGAGTAAAAATTAATTAAGATAGTTATTTAGTTGTGTCTTTTTAATCCAGAGTATGTACTAATCTGATTAATCGATTAATCGTCAGAATAACCGATTCTGACATAATCACTACAGATCTGAACGTCGTTCAGTTTCACAACCCTGATAAATCTGACTTAACCTAAATGTCAGCTCTGCTACTAAGATCAAACCGTTTTTTCTCAGTAACAACAAAATGAAAAGCGAGTGAGAGCACTCCCCTCAGTGAAAGCTTTGAAAGGAAATTGTCCTCAGAAAGGTTTAAGCTCAGTAAACCTCCAAGGACATCTCTCTCAGTCTCATCCACATCATTTTGGGACACAATGCACCCAATCCATCAGAGAAAACAAGGCCTCATGATTCATGTTTGAATTATGTGTAGGCTGGGGTTGAATGCAAAAACAGGATTTGGGTTGGAGCAGCTCCAGCTGTGACCTTGGATGGAGAACGGATTCAAAATGGTGACGTATGAAATAAACCAAAAAGGAAAACGAGGATTTATCATTCTGATGGTGAATTATCAGTAGATATGAACCAGCCGGCTTTCTCTCTCCAATGCTACTTTACAGTTTTCCTTGAGGTCTGACTCACCAAAGCCGATTTTATTTCTGAAACTAGTGTTTAAACGCTACGGATCAGTTCATCCTTTACTCATTTGTAAATCTGTTTCATTATTTCATCCAAACCTCCTTCTATTTTATGCCTGCATCTAAACTTTTTGCCCCTTTTGCTACTTTTCAGCCAGGGGCGACAATTTTTCATCCATCTTAGTTAAAAATACAACATTCGATGGAGAATTCAAACAAACATGTATTTTAGTTAAACAGGTAAGAAAAAAATCTCAAAGTTGTACAGATCCCCAACTTGTTGGTCAAGATATCATTTTTAGTTCATTCCCAGAAACAAAAATAAAAACCATCTTTGAAAA